TATAATTTTTTTTTTTAAATTTTGAAACTTTAATGGTGAACTCATTAGAATTTTTTTTTTTATTAAAAGAAGCTTTTTTTTTTTCCTTACTAGTGTGTTAGATTAAATTATGCTTTTTCTGATGTAGCATTCTTATTTCTTATTCCCCTTCATCTTTAGATGTCTCATAAAATCATTTGTAATTGGTCGCCCTTTCAACTGTATGCTTTTCTTACAGCCGACGTTAGAAAATTATTTAAAGGTCAAGATCTCAATGAATTAAACTAATGTAGTCATAGCTGGGGTATTTTAATAGATTTGCTGATTGGGCATGAGTCGGGGGGATTCTTTCTAGCTGCCGCTGTTAAGTTTTGCCTTGACTACATAGTTTAAGATGAATTTTTCAGGTGTACAGTTTATATGAATTCGGCAGAACCATTCTTTACTTCCCATTTTGCTATACACCACGATTCAGAAGTTACTGAATTTCAGTTTAAAAAGGTACATTTTTATTTTACTGTTAATGTACTTTGTTTTCCGATCTACTAAATCATAGGACTATTACATTAAAATAAGTGCGAACAAAAAGGTATTATTATACGAAACGATTCTAGAAATAAGCATCCTATTCTTCGACACGATATATGTTTCTCGCTACTTTGCTCAAAACGCTGATTGCAATACAATGCATGGCTGTTTATGATATTATACCGCAGATCTTTCAAAGTTTAACATGCTTCTAACAAAGCGAACTCCTATATTTGCTTCAGACGCATGGTGCATTGACTCGCTCTTAGTGTGCTATTCGCTCACCAACTCCTGGTCAATATGTTAAATAGTACCATAGTGCTATCACAGAACGTTATATATCACGTTCTGTGATGCAATAACCGCTTCACCGAAAGGTCAAACACATTCATCCCAAATAGCAAAACTCGAAAAGTATTTTTCATTGTTGGAGTAAATAACTTTTAAAATGAGAGTTGAATTTCTGAATCTCAACACAGATTGTGCTTTAAATTTCTATATACAGTTAGTCACAAAAGTCTGCGTACAGACTAAATTTTAAATTTAAAAAACACTTTAAGCATAGAAAAATGTATTTTAATCATTGCATTTTTTTTCTTCTATTAGCTAAAATAAAAAGTAAATAATATCAGTGTAATACTTTTTACATTTTTTCAAAAATATATTTTGTCAAAAAAACTCCCTCCAATAAGTCTGCGTACACTTTAAAAAAAAAAAAAAAAGCAAAATATAAGTTTTTTGTTTTTTACATTACTTCAATACTTTGTAGGATATCCTTTATTCTTCAAAACAGCTTGCAGACGTCTGGGCATTGACTGAACTAGTTTTTCAGTGTCATCCGACGTAAATTTCGCCCATTCTTCCTGCAATTAACTAATTAGCTTATTTCGCGACGAAATATTGTATTTTCGAATTCGTTTCTCCAATTTTGCCCACTAATGTTCGATTGGATTCAGGTCTGGTGACTGTGGAGGAGTACGCAACTGTCTTGGAGTGTGATAGAGGAGATATCCCTTCACAATTTTAGCTGTATGTTTCGGGTCGTTGTCTTGTTGGAAAATAAAGGTATTATAAAGGTTCAAATTTCGAGCACTGTCTCGTAGATTTTTCTTCAGAATATCCAGATAAATATACTTATCCATGACTTTATCAATAATATGAAAATTTTCAACTCCTTTCGACGACATAGAGCCCCATACCATCACACCGCCAACTCCATGTTTGACAGTTGGATTTAAATTTCTCAGATTCAATTCTGTTCGGTGGCCATTAACTTTAAATATTGTAAATTTACTTTCATCTGACCAAATTACATTGTTCCAGAAGTCCTGCGAAGAGTTTAAATATGTTTTGGCAAAAGCAATTCTTTTCTTTCTATTTGTCTCGGAAATGTATGGCATAGACCTAGGTTTGCGTCCATGATAATCGGACTTTCGCAGCACTTTTCGTACAGTTTCAGGAGAAATTTCCTTGTTGCTAGTTAAAAATATGTCTTTTGCAATGCTTGCAGCAGAAAGTTTAGGATTTTGTTAATTCGTAAAAGAATTTTTCTTTCTTCTCTCTACGTTAGCTTCTTCGGTCTCCCCACATCTTGGTTTTACAGCAAGACTACCAGTGTCAAGATAGTTTTGAATAACTCTTTGCACACTAGAAATGGTTTTTCCAATGGTTTTACCAATATAACGAAGAGTTTTACCTTCATCTCTCAATTTGATAATTAGTTGTCTCGTAACTAAAGGAATTTCTTTATTGGTTGTCATTTTCGTCAAAGAAAATAGAAATAGCAACTTCCAATCAACGTGAAATTTGCTTCGGAGGTCAGTGACCTTGAAAGTGTAACCTTCTTTGTATTCTCAAATTTGAAGTTTAGAAGTTAGATAAGAAATCCCCCGCCTCCTTCGCGTTGTACGCAAACTTTATTGGCTTTGATTTCTGGCCACTTATCTTTTAAAAATTAGTGTGCATAAATTATTAAATATGAAAATATTACAGTTAAATAATTTCAAAGTCCCTTATTGAAACTACATATTTAAAAAATAAAACTTTAAGAAACTACCCTTTTCGTACCTTAAAATTTGGATTTGATATTACTTTTCTTGATGTACGCAGACTTTATTGACTAATTGTACGTCGAAAATTTTCGTTTGCACTTTTCTTGTTTCAGACCACTAATGTTTTTCTTCTGAAAGACAAGCAAAATGTTTTTTACAATTAAATTCTATATTACGAAAGACTAGGCCCATTTAGAACTATTTCCTAGCAGAGATCGAAATGCGTAACTTGCACATTTTAGACACACTGTAAAAATTGAAAATTGGATTAAACAACTTTTCAAAATACAGAGACTGTTCACACATGTTGTAGACGATTTTTTTTTTTACTTTCAAAAAATCTGCGTGGAATTTTTTTTAACTGCAACTATATTTTTGAAAAGTACAAATTATCGTCTGCTACTTGACAGTTTTGTTTTCGTGCAAAATGTAGCTTTTAAAAAAGCAATGGATGGAAGACTGTATTTGTATTCTTTTCGAAGAAAATTATTTATATCTAATTGTTAAAAAACCTCGTGAAAGCCATGACCTTTCTATATTTAAAGCTACAATAGGTAATGCTAACAACAACAATCGAAAAATACGTCAAAATTTAGCTTCAAGTGGAAAAATTGTTCCAAATAACCACCTAAGGAAAAAACGAAATGTTTCGAATGTTGCAAAACTAAAGTCTTTATTGTTAAACGAAAATCCTCCAAGTACAGTTTCATCAAAGAAAAGAAAAAATTGGTTCAAGGAATCTAAAGAAAATTTTTCTATGGGATTTATGATTGTTGCTGGTTTTTCATATAACAGAAAATTAAAAATAAAGAGAGAAGGAAAAAAGTTAAGAGCGTTTCCTCATATTCCATTTTCAAATATGAAATACCTTCTCTTTGGAAACAGTGTGATCAATCAGTAGAACTGCATAAGACAAAGCAAGCAACACTTCAAAATCTACTGTAATTTTCTGGAAAAAATGGAACCGGAAACGGGTATCAAAAGCCATACCCTTCACTCATATACCTACTAAACCTCCTGATCTATCACTAATGGGGGCCCACCAGCGGCCGACCGGTAAAGTAGCTGAACACTGGTAGTTCGGTCGAAGGTTCGAATCCCGCGAACGGGCTGGCTGCATGGGCGTTTTCGTGGTTTTCCCCATGTGTAACGTGTATACGAGCCAGTTTCCCTTAGAAAGTCCTCCACGAAGGCATCCCCCCCTTAGGCAGATAGCCCTAGTGTGCTTTGCCATAATTAAAATACACACACACTACCACTAATGTATTTTTGCGCTTTTGGACTTTAGAAAGCGGGTTGTCTAAACTTTGATCTTCAGTCTTAGACTCTGGAAGACTCTTCGAGAGCATCTGAAAAAATCTGAAAAGTTTCAGATTTTAAATTATTTCCAAAGCGGCGCTTTTTTAACATTTTGTGAGTTACCTTTATTTATTAAATATCACGTTCTTCGCACTTAAACCATAACTTTCAGTTCAAGAGCAATATCGCAAAATAATTTTAAATTGAGCATATCTTTAGAATTTCCGATACACAGTCTCGCGCGCTGTATATAAGAATGATTTTTCTGTACAACGTTTCCATTGCTCGCTTTCAAATCCTTGAGTTTATTAATAAAAAATTCGTTAAAGTTTTACAAAATATGAAATCCATAATAAAACAAATTCCAAATTTCAAATTTGGGCTTCCAGATGCCCGTATTCGCAGTAGGATTACGTCATTCAAAATTGGAAGGCTGTATGTACCGGTTTTATCACAATGCGAGAAACATACATATATTTACGCATGTTCTTCATTATTTAATTTCTTCAAATATAATACAGAGATATAATATTTGGTGGCAACTGTTTGAAAAGTGAAACGGACATTCAGAGTGATTCAACGCAAAATCGCAAAACGAAAACAATAGTTCCTCAGCGACAAAGCCCCTTTGTAGTAAAAATTCCTTTTGCGATACTACAAAGGGCTTTATTGTCTTAGAAATTACGGTGTATAAAGTTAGTGAAAATTAACGGTTATCAAATAGAACATTAAAAACATAAAAAGTTTAGGCAAAATATTTCTGTAATTACAATGAACAGCCTCTGGACTTTGGACATCAAACTTTTCATTTCCTAAATTTCCTTCATTTTATGTCTGATAAAATTTTTGTGCTTTTTTCTTTTCTGTTTTTAAGAATATAATACAGTAGTAGCCCGTAGCTACGGTAATTTGTTGCAAAACTAACATCAGATAACAACGAACGCCATGCAAAACAAATTATTCTTACAACATGTCTTGCAATATTAGTATAACAAACATAATTATGATCATATTCAATTAATAAATTATGCAAGTAAGATATTACAAAAATTCAGTAATTTAATAATAAAGTATTCAATGCAAAACAATAATGCATAATATACTGTTTAATAAATTAATGTAAAATAATAAATTATACATTACAGCAGAAGTCTGGGATTCACTGGACATGCGGGCCGAAACGCGCAATTTTTTTAAATTCCCCTTTCACCGAAAATTTCAATGCCTATTTTATTTTTTTGCCTATTTTTTTTGTGCCATGCCTATTTTATTTTTTTTTTTTGCATTAAGAATTTATTTTCGCGCGAAATCTCAAATCTAATCTGCAATTTTGAAAGTTTAACGTCTAGTGATATGAAATGTGGCATTACTACTAGCAACTCAATGCTAATTCGGAACTGAAACTCGAAATTTGCCTCCAGACTGGACAGCTACACATTTCACAGCTTGGCCTGTATCAATGTAACACGTCGTCGCTAGCTTCTGTCTATCATTCATTGTCTTACGATGTGCTACGCTTATAAAATTATGGTTGCGCAGACTGCGGCAATGATGATATGGGAATCGGAAATGCGTCTCGATAATTGCCTTATCCAGTAATAAAATGTGTGCAAACGCGCCCATTTAACAGCGCGCCAAATCTAGCCTACGCGCTGATTTCAGATTGCGTAAGTTTATATAGTTCTATATTTCTTAAGACGCCATTGAAATACTAGGTTAATTTTTAAATTATTTTTTGATATCCTATGAATTTAACAATTTGGGAATTGCCCATGAAGAAAAGTCTGCAATATAATGAGGCGATTTTAAGAATTGCACATACTCGGTATCCATGTACACATCGACCTATTCTCACTGGAATAAAATCCCAGAATTGCACAAAAATGGCACTGCGCACACCCTTGACTTTATCTGTGTACACATCGACCTATTTTCACTTAAAAAGTAAAAGAAAATTGACAAAAATCCAATTGTTTTTACCCTTTAAAAAGCGGCAAACCAATTCTGCACTACCGAGAATTTTTTCATAGAAAAGGCATCATTCATTATAGAAAATTATGTTTGAACAACCAAAGAGAGGAAATTATGCTTTAGCGATAACTCAGTAGCGAAATAGCGATGCAGGAATCCATTAAGCAATGTTTAGCATTTTTTATACAAATTGTAATAATGGTTATAATATATAATGACTGACTGGAAGCATAAGAGTAAATAACTAAAATAGTTATTTACTCTTATGCTTCCAGTCAGTCATTTAGCCTTTTTTATGTAATTATTATAATAATAAAGTTTTAAATGAAATTAACTTTTCATCTAAATTAAAACATCAATCTTAGATAGTTATTTACTGTTATACTTCCTTTCTTGCGTTAGGGTTGCCGCAATTATTTTTGGCAGCTCTGGCATCAACAATTTTTTACGAGGCTCAAAACCGAATAGTGCCAGTATATATGGAAAGTAAGAAACCTAGAATTAAATTCACAAAGGCAGTACTAGTAAAGGCCGAAATTCCCATAAATATGTAAAAAAATAACCTATTGTCACCAAAGCAGAAGAATTGTCGTACACTATAGATATGTAAAATACAAAAAATACATAGGAAAAGGAATGCAATCAAATTCTGATTCTACGTCATCAAGAGGAGGCAGATCATTTTCAATTAAATTGAATCACCCTCTTCAGGAAAACCACTGCATTTCCAATTGAATCTGAACAATTTATTACGGCACGCATATCTCAGTGCCTCTAAAAGTATAAGCATCATATTTATAACAAATTCGTAATTGAAATTTATTTTCGAGTACATTTGCTTCGGGGGCTGTACACGGACCTGCAGAGCGGTTGTTCGAGACCACTGCAGTAGAGTGTACGCTCTCTGGCATATCTCCCGGCTGGCTTCAAGAGAATTTACGTGCTTCGTGTTGGCAATAGCCATGTTTGAATGACTATGTTTCGATTTTATTGCGAAA